ACGTCGACTGATGATCAACACGTCAATAAAATAAAAGAATAGGTGCTTGAGAATCGGAAGCATCAGTAAAAAATCATTTTGAAAGCATTGAAGGCTATTCCGGAAATTGACTTCAACAACGTTGACACAAGTATATTGTCAAAGGAGATTACTTTGATGGAGACGACATAGATTTTGAAAAATAAATAAAGAATTTTCAAATTATGAACAAAGTCTTACAAAAAATACTCATAGTAGTGTAATAAAATATCGTAGACATGTCGTAAATCGTGAGATTATCTGATATACAACGGTTCACCTATTCTGCTGTTTATACGCTGAACAGGGTATCTTAAGTTTACCAACATAGCTAACCTATAAAATAAAAAAGTATATAAATGTTCAGCATGACGAGTTGAGCCGAGTTAGGCATGTCCGCCTGTCTGTTTGTATATAATATATATGCGAGCTAGTCCCTCAGTTATTGAGATATCGAACTGAAATTTTGGAGCCGTTGATTTCTCGTCAAAGAGCTGCTAATTTTTCGAAAAGACCGATATTGGACCACTATAGCGTTTAACTGAAAGATCGGAAAAAATTGTAGGTATGGAAACTGTTTCTATTCGACGAGATAATTTCTAGAAATTTAGCATAGACTATTGCCTGAGACAATAGGGTAAAGCAAAAGTACAAAGAAATCGATCAAGGTTCTTGTAAGGAATCGTTTGCTGTGAAGGGTATTCAGCTTCGCGGTGCAACCAAATTTAACGTTTACCTTTTCTTTTTTGAATTGATTTAAGTAGTTTTGTTAAAAAGTTTCGACTCGATCCTGCCAGGAGTCGAACCTGGAATCTTCTGATCCGTAGTCAGACGCGTTATCCATTGCGCCACAGGACCCTACATTTCGAAAATCTTTTCGAACGGGACTCCTATTATGTCTTGATAGTTTTAAGTTATTTTTTGTTCTTTTTTTATTATTTAAAAAATCAAAAAAAATTATCTGCCACGTGTAATAATAAATTTCATATATAGTTTTAATAATAATATTTTTTATTTTTACTTAAGAAATTGTACACGTTTCAAATCGAACACGAAATTCTAAATTTATTTAAGTTTTTGGTACTTATAAATAATATTTCGCAACTTTTATTAAAACAAAAAAACGGTTTTCACATTTTTTTTAGAATTATTCCCAAAGTACATGTTTTGTTCCACGCTTAATTACTTTTTGATGTGCTCAGCAATAGCTCAATAAAGTTGTGTGAATATTTTCGTACAAAAACTGCGACAATCATACGAGTATGCTTGACAGCTATAAATCTCAGAGATTTATATCTTTTAGCTGCTTAATTAAGAAGACAAACGCTCAACGAATGATGCTTATGCTCATTAAGATAGTTGGAAGCGACTAAAACTGTAAAAATATAGATAGATTTGTACATAGAAATATACATAGACATACTACATACATTTATAGCTTAAAAAATTGTTTCTAGCATTTCGGCACTTTTGTAGAATTAAGAGCAATTCAAAAATTTTTTCAGAAAAGCGCGAGAAGCGAGTATGTAAATGTCTTTATATAAGTCAGAACACATTGTTTTTCAAATATTTTATTTTTTACAACAACATTGCTCTTAAATATTCGACATCAATTAGTTTATGTGTCTATTTGTTAGCCGGTTTCTATCCAGCGAGCTCAATGACGAACTTAAATATTCAAACAGGCGCCCATAAATTTGTAGTTGAAAACTAAATTTGTCACTTCACTTTTTGTTTTTTTTTGTTTTTGTTTTTGCTGAGGAAAACATAAAATGTGCTTAAAAACGCAGCATTTGCAATTGAATGAAGATTTATCGCCTAAATTAACGATTTTAATGAACTCAACTTGTCAGCAAACGGTTAAGAGCAGCGGTGTGCGGTGGGCACGCCGAGGTGGAGTAATCTTAATGGCGGACATTTTACTGGCAAATCGATTTTATGTTCGCATATTAATTGGCATTTTGTAGCTTCGGTTTCGGCCACAGAGCGGTTCTGGCACCTGTTGACCCGCGTAGACTCCACGAATGATGTGACATTCCGTTAACGTGGACACACGCATAAATATGGGCGCATAATATGTGATATGTGTAATGCGAATTCCATGCCACAACTATGTTGACATAAATTATACAAAATTAATAGTATTTCAATAAAACGTACGCGTTAATATGCAAACTTCGTTAATTTTGTGAATTGCAAGCAGTAAATAATAAATGAAGAAGGTTTAAAGTAAAATTAAAAAAAAAATTAATGCCCCGGGTGAGGCTCGAACTCACGACCTTAAGATTATGAGACTTACGCGCTGCCTACTGCGCCACCGAGGCTACAAAATCTCTTTGTCAAAGTACACATTTGTACCTGAGACAGCATTAGAATGTTCTAAGCATTCCTGTAAAATTGAATATTACTTAAAAAAGTTGCCAGAGTGCTGGCACAGTTATTTTGGAGAGTGGAATGATGGTAAACACTATGTGTGATAAAGTAGGTTAGATGGTTGATCAGAAGATCGCACGTGAAAAGAAGAACTCTGTGTTCGAAAAAATTAGCAAGATACTTATTAGCCAATACAAATTTGCACAGGCATTTAATTTCTATTTGCACTCCCAAGTACTTAAGTCTTGAAGTCCAAGCTTCCGCGAAGCCCTGCTACCTAGTAGTAGAACACAAGAGAATACGGCGGCACGGACCCGCTCTCATCCTACCGATAGCGATTATAAGGTGCCTTTTCTGGTTAGTTCATCAGCTTTACAGTTGCCTGCGATTCCGCTGTGGCTTGACATCCATACCAGTCTTATCACAAAGACACTCAATGCTATTAATAGCGAGGTTAGGCACCCTTTAAAGAGTTCAAGGGTAGTATGGCCGCTCTGCTATTTGAGTTGATGGTCACTTCTCTGCAGGAGGCTTCCTCCGGAGCGGAAAATCTACTGCTACCTTAATGGCTGCAACATTGGCCTGGAAGACACTGAAATAGTCGGGCAGTCTGAAAATGGAATTGATACAGAGCTCCTGACAGGAAACCCCTCCACCAAGCTTTTACCTATCCGTGAAGAAGCTCGCTGCCCCTCTCCTCCAACAGCTTCAACAGTATATGAGTAGAGAAAGAGTCGCCAGACTCCATGATCCAAGCGATTCGGTATGAAAGAAAAGTGAGTGAGGATTTCCGAGTGTTCAGACTCGTGTTATTTTAGGAACCCAGACTCTCAGAGTCTAAAGTCAACTTTCGCAGCCATTCCACACCTTCGTGCGATGTCCACGGGCAATACAAGTACGTGCAAGAGCCATAGTTGGAGTGAACCTTAGTGCACCACACAAGCTGATGAGCGCCGCATTATGAACGCTCTCGAGTTTCTTTGCTAGAGTGTAACATTGCATAAAAATGTGTCAGCTGGAATGTATCGCAATATTTGACACAATTAATTTTCAAAATTTATTCATTATATTTTTAATAAAATTTAATAATAATAAAGTAATTTAAATTCCATTAACCAAGTATTCCATAAATGCATTTACTAAGAGATTTAGCTATGTAAATAAATTATTAAAGTTTTCCATTTAAAAATACAATGTTAGTTCAAAAACACTGACCCTGCTACTCCAAAAAAAAAAAGAATTTGCTCATCGATCCTGCCAGGAGTCGAACCTGGAATCTTCTGATCCGTAGTCAGACGCGTTATCCATTGCGCCACAGGACCCCGTATTTGATTTCGAGAGTTTATTGAATTTTGAAATGTTGAGAATTTCTAAATAATATTTGAGTTTTCGCAGGATTCTTTTTTTACGAAACTTTTACCAAATTATATTTAGGAACTATTATTGTTTTATGCGTAAGTATTATATTTCTAAAAAATGTCATTTAATTTGTGTTAAACGTTTCAATATAAGCTTTAAAGATTTTTAAAATTATTTGTTAGTTTTTTCATATAAATTTTTAAAAAAATATTAAAAAATAAAATTGATTTCGAAAGTAGAAACTCCTAAAAATGCAAGAAGTTTTTTCTATAGTATATATCGTTACCTAAAATTCAAAACAGCGTAACATCTAAAACAAATCGAAAATCGTTGTCTGATAAAATAACCAATTTATAACCATTTTATAACCGCAACTCAAATTTTGTTTCAATACTAGTGGTTTCTATTATATCGTTTTACCTTCGCCTGTAAACTTATGAAAAATGATATTACGTTATCTTGTATTTTATAAGCAGATGAAGATATATTAAATTTTTGTTGAAAAGTTTGAAATTTTTTTTTATAAAAACAAGCACAGTTTCAAATTTAAATCTATTATTTTCGCCATCATTCTTCGTTTTACGGATACAGTAAATTTTCCAAATATAAACGAAGTTAAATACTCTAAAATAAAATAAATTAATGAAACGTATCTGTTATTAATAATATATTCGAAGTTAATTCTAGATTTTGATTATTTGCATTCTCTAAAAACATTTCATCCCAAAACTATTTTTTACTACTTCGTAGTACTGAAAGTATAAATAATGTTGAATTGCATGAGAAGTTTGACTGTATCATGGCAAATAAACCAGTAAGACTATGGCCGTAGTTTCAAAAAAAATACTTAAATAATTTTTAGAAATTAAAAGAAATTAATATTTTCAAAACACATGTCTTCGCAAAACCAATTTAAGTATTATTTCGCTAAAAAAAAATTAACTATCGATTATATTAACGAAGTTTATCGATTTTTTGTACAAAAAACATTTACATTTCTCAGCGATATGGCAGCAACGCGCAACTGCCAGCGCTATGTCTGACATTCTGTGCAGTGCCTACCTGTCACCTTTGTTGACAAGAATATTTTGTAAAATTACAAAACCAGCGATAAGGTGAAAAGGTTATTAAGTGTGTTTTATATATAAATATATAACAGAAACGTGCGCCATTGTTAAAAGTATAAAGTCATTCAATTAAATTAGTGTTTTATTGGCTTAAACACCAAGAAGTTAGTTATGCGTTTGCTGTAAAATATCTGGGCGAAACATTTTGTTATTGCTTTTGGATTTTTTCTATCTGACAGTTTGTCTACGCCGCACATGTGTATGTGCTGTTTTCTCCTTTGCATTTTGTGCCTGCGTTTTGTTTTTGTTAAGCGCCATCCATGTGCTCTGCCGTTTTCGCTACCCCAAGAACAGCAGTCGAGTTTTGTTTTTGGCGGTGTTTTAACGTGTATGCAGAACATTTATTGTGGCTTTTGTGTTTATATATTATTATTTTTTGCTTGCTTTTTTGAATAAAATTGTGATTAAAAGACTCCAGAAATGTCAGTACAAGTGCTTAATAACTAAATTAATATTTCCAATGCCAAGCGTAGTGCTATAAATATTTAAATTCACTGAAATTTTTTTATTTTTACAAGTGAAATGTAAGTCCAAATAAAATAGTCTAGTCACGAAAAAGAAGCTTTTAATGACAAAAAGCTTTTAAGCTTCTGTGTTTAAAAATAAAACTGTCCATATGAAAAATTAAAACGAAATTATAATGAAAACAAAGTGCTAAACTAATAAAACTCGAAAAATGTGTTTTTAGTATTATGTTTTTATGACGTACGTGATTACAGTAGTTTCACAGATATATCAGTGCTTTAATGAAATTACTAGAAGCACCTTAGGTTGAATAACCTACCTCACGCTTGATTTGGTTTTTAAGCTCTGACACATTCTCTTCTCGTCGCTCCACAACCAGACAGACTACAAGGACTTCTGAACATACTCTTGCATTATTCGACTAAAATTGTCAATTTTGTGTGAGTTTTGTGGTTTCTTGGCCAATCTTGGCAACATTTTTTTATTGTGCCATCTAAAACTCATTTCAGTGTTATCAGATAATGCTATATGTGTTTTTCACAACGTCGAAAATGCATAAATCCTATTTATTCTGTTGCTACCGTTTTATTCTAAGAAATCTGCGATTTTTGCTCGTTTACCTGCTGGTTCCTTTTTTCTTTTCTTTATGCAAACAGTGTAAAGCTTCCTGTCTATTGTTACAGTTATTATACGTAGACACGTTTCGAATATCTATTGTTGCGGTTGGTTAAATTATTCATGTACCCTCATAAGTATTTGCATATTTTGAGAGTCAAATATCGCAAATAAATACATAAAATGAACGATTAATGCTTTATTTATTCTTTAGCTTATATAAATACTTGTGCTTGTTAGACATGTACATATGTATGTATTTCTTTAAAAAAATTAAATTTTAAAGAATGACACTTATCCCAATATAATAATGCTAAAAACATTAAAAATTGACACATTGATATTAAAATTCTGTGATTCAAAGTGTTAAATCTGAAAAAATATAAATGTTATAGTATGTAGCAATATTCAATTAATTTTGAAATATCTATTTGTAAAAAAACCAGAATTAAAACTTATCGTTTCATTGAAAATCTCGAAACATACATTTTTTCAACTTTAGCATTGAGTAATTTTTATTCCACGTATTATATCTGATGCGTGACAGTTTTACTATGTTATTTCTTCCAAGTTAAGATCGTGGAAAAGTCGACTTCAGAAAGTGATTTAGAATGTACGAATTCAATTTTATAAAATATATAATCGTCTCTCAGATGAGCTATGGTATCAAAAAAGTTGAAGAGAATTCTTCCGTTCACGCATTTGGAATTTGCTACTTTTGAGTCCAAAAAAAAAAAAAATATTCAAATGTCTTGAACTTTTACTTCAAATCTCACTTCTTTTTTCTTTGAGACTACAAATTATTCAACGTAAGATTCTAGACTATTCCTAAATTAGAAAAATTAAACATATGAATCACATTTGTTCTAAGTAGCGATGGCTCACTGTTTTAGAATTTGTTCATTGTTTAATATGCGCTCTCCAAAGCACGCTATTCTGTTGATTTTTGCTTTCCGTACTCAATTCTAGCTTCACTTTTTAAAACTTCCGTAAGTTCATCAAATGCGTTATCACACGCAGACTCCACTTTAAAAGCTCAAACACTTACATTAGGTATGTGTAAGTGTGGCTCAACTTAAGTATGTATATATACATACATATGTTGCATTTTGTGGTCTCCCACAATAAGGTTTACGTTGAGTGTCTTGTGTCTGTTCCGCTTATATGAATTTTATAGGTATCCCTATTCATTCAGTAGAATTAATCAGTGATGCTTTTCGTACCAGGTAATAGTAATCAAGTTTGGTGAGGTAGTCTTTTGTAAGGAGCTCTTAGTAAAGTCTACTTTCTCGTTCTTTCAAATTAGTGAGTATTCACTCTGACAGCAGAGTTTTGAATTTGAACTTGTGTATTAATTGCATCGGGCTAGTTTGTTGTTTGAATCTCCAAAGCTGATAAGCTTTCAAATAAGGACACTCTCAGACTGAGTTTGTTTTGAACTCCCTCTTTTCTCATAACAAATTGGGTTAATACCAGACGGATGGGGCTTCGCAGCGAGCTTTTTAAGCACTGGTAAACCATGGGAACGGACGTGTTTACAAGATCCCTCTTTGCTAGAGTAGATTATAAGATATCCATTGTATTATTTGCTTAATTTTGCTCTAGTTATAGGATTTGAACTAGTCATTCATGCGGCATGTACACTTGTGCTCACATTACTAAACCATTTCATGACAAAATCACGGTCTAGACTATAAAGTCATCGAAGTCGGTATATCGGTATTTGTATAACTTTATATAAAGAAGTTCCGTTATCTATATCGAAAGTGTTGCAACGTTTTCATAGAAATAAATAAAAGTTTAAATTGTTTCAAAGAAACATAAAAGGATCAAAGTTGTATGAAGTGATGAATCCAAGTTTAATGTCTTTGGGAATGATGGTAGACCCCATGACAGGAGACCATCACTCCTTAATTAAAGCCACGATATACAAAAAAACTGTGAAACAGATGGAGTAGGACCACATGTACAAGTTTAGGGCAAATGATTGGCATTATGTACAGAGACATGCTAGCAGAACATTTAAATGGAAATTACCCAGATGATTTACTACAACCTTGGTTTATCGATTTCGATAACAACGGTCAAAAGTACTGCTCCAGGGTGGTTAAAGACTGACTAGCAATGAATTAGAGCAAGTGTGCCGAGTGACCTGCTCAAAGCCAGGACTTTGAGAATGTATGGGGGGGTTGTGGCAAATCTTAAAGGACGAATGGATCAAATTACTCCAGACCCATGTAGCATACTGGAACGAACAATGAGCAAACGGTGCAGATAAGTGATTTTGCAAAAGGGTTCCCGACAAAAACACTTTTTTGTTGCAGGTGGCTAAATTGTATGAGCTCGAAAAATACTTGTAAAGGGGAAAGCAGATTTTCGTTTTTAGACTAAAATTCAACTGAAAAGATATGAATACAATACATTTAAAGTCAATTCCTTTGATTCTGTGATATTTTTTTTGTGCATTCTTAATAAAATTCAACTTTTATGAATATCAGAATTCTGTGCTTTTTCATTTTCAAAATTTTTTTTTATTTGAGTTTCAACATATGTATACAATTTATATTATAGTATTATTATAGTTTTTTAACTCTAAATTTATCTATAATATATTTACAAGTAACTCGAGGAAAATGGCGCGCGTTTTCTGAAAACCTTTAACAAAATATTTTTTTTTTATTTCATAAAAGTTTTCTATTTTCCCCCCAACTTTAAATAGAAAATGAGGCTGGTCAGCAGAAATTTCGATAAAGGCGCACAGGGTTCCGTCACACTAATAGCGGAAGAGCCCGAGGATATGTGGCACACATACAATCTGATTGCTGAGGGCGATCAAGTACGCAGCACAACCATACGAAAAGTGCAAAATGAGTCAGCGACAGGCTCCTCGACGAGTAATCGAGTACGCACCACACTAACAATTAGTGTTGAGTCCATAGACTTCGATACACAAGCATGCATGCTTCGCTTAAAGGGACGTAACATCGAAGAGAACCAATACGTCAAGATGGGCGCCTATCACACACTCGATCTGGAGTTGAATCGAAAATTCGAACTGCGCAAAGCCGAATGGGACACAATAGCGCTGGAACGCATTGAAATGGCCTGCGACCCCACACAATCATCTGACTTGGCGGCGGTTGTGATGCAAGAGGGTCTTGCCTATGTATGTTTGATTACCGCTAGCATGACATTGGTGCGCAGCAAAATCGAGGTGTCGATACCGCGCAAGCGCAAAGGTCACACGCAACAACACGAGAAGGGACTGGCAAAGTTTTACGAGAGCGTGATGCAAGGCATATTGAGACATGTGAATTTCGACGTAGTCAAGTGTGTACTGATCGCCTCGCCGGGTTTTGTGCGTGATCAGTTCTTCGAATATATGTTTCAGCAGGCGGTGAAAGGTGACATCAAACTACTGCTGGACAATAAGAGTAAGTTCATACTTGTACGCTCGTCGTCGGGCTTCAAGCAAGCCCTCAAGGAGGTGCTGCAAGATCCCAGCGTTATGGTAAAAATATCCGATACCAAAGCCGTTAGAGAAGTTAAAATACTGGAACAATTCTATAATATATTGCATTGTGAGCCCGCTCGTGCATTCTACGGCAAGAAGCATGTGTTGGAAGCCGCCAAAGCGATGGCGATAGAAACCCTACTCATATCGGATAATCTATTCCGCTGTCAAGATGTAAATCAACGAAAAGAATATGTAAATTTAGTTGAGTCCGTACGTGATGCGGGTGGCGAGGTGAAGATATTCTCCAGCATGCATATATCGGGAGAACAACTCGCCAATCTGACTGGCATAGCGGCCATTCTGCGCTTCCCCATGCCTGAACTTGACGACAGTGCTGACGATGATGATGACTCTGCTGACTCAGAATAATTTTCATGCGTAGCTTAAGTGCAGCTTTTAAGCATTATATGATACAAATTTAGTAGTTAATAGTAATTTAAAGCAAGAAAACATTTCGACAAATAATAAATTTTACTAATTAATGTATATAAGAATAATCCATTGGATAGTCAACAATATCGCTTAAGTTGTTCGTGTATAGTGAAGATTATTTTTTATTAAATTAAAAATGTATGGCTGTTTCACTGATGCGCCTACCGATTTGCTTACTATTTAAATAAAATAATAGCTTTGTTAGAAAACCCTTTAAAAACCAATGATCAAGGATACCTGCAACAAAGTGGGGGATGAAAAAGTCGTTTTCGGTATTGTCAGTATTGATACCGATAAAAAAATGCAGTCCATGTCATGAATATTGGTGTGAAGTGCGCGAAAGAAATTATATCAGTTTTGAGTGCCACGGAAACCGATTTTGTCGGTTTTTTTTTTAAATCAGAAACTACGCAGAAAGAGTAAATTAACATAATTCAACGTCTTTATTCCATATTTATCGCACCGTCAACTGAAAAGTCCCTTGTCTAAGGTGGAATGTTCAGTTTAGACGTCTTGAAAAAGCACTGAAGACGGTAAACGCACAAGAGGACTCCAAAGCTGTTGTTACCGACGAAAATATCAAAAAAATCCACAAAATAATTTCTAATCCGTAAAGTGAGGTTGTTCGTGATAGCAGGTATTCACGAATATTTCGCTTTTGACCAAAAACAGCGACAAGACGCTGGCAAAAATGCATGAATCGGGTTTTGAACCACTTCTTTATTCAACGAACTCTCCAGACCCAGCCCCCAGTGACTATTTCGTGTGTTCAGATCTCAAAAGAATACACGTTGGGAAAAAATTTTCGTAAAAATAGAGACGTGATCGCCGAAATTGAGGTCTCTTTTAAAGCTAAGGACAAATCGTACTACAAAAATGGTATCGAAAAGTTGAAGGCTCGCTTACTATGGTGAGCCGAGGTATGAAAATGCATATGTACAAGCTGGTACAAGTAAATACTGGCTAAATTTCACTTACGATTCCCCTTCCTACAGTAAAATAAAAGCTAAAATAGCGAAAATCATTGTAAACTTTCAGAGAATTGCTTTCAAATTTTAAAGTTATGCCTCATTAGTAAACACTTGGTTCAAATATTGGTCTTGTCTATTTTAGAAAACAGAAAATCCAATCAATCAGCAAATCTATCTGTTTGGGTTCCATAACACCCCTCAATATTGTTACCTATATCTGTATATGAGGTCTCTTCGATAAATTTCTCAAATTCGTCTTTAATATGAACTAATAAATCAGTCGCCTCTCCTCGTCCTCTCCCGACAAACAAAAACCAAACTCTATAAGTCACTCATAATTCCCGTCCTGCTATATGGTGCAGAGGCTTGGACGATGTCAACAACTGCTGAGTCGACGTTGCGAGTTTTCGAGACAAAGCGAAAGATTTATGGTCCTTTGCGCGTTGGCCACGGCGAATATCGGAACGATGAGCTGTACGAGATATACGACGACATTGAGATAGTTCAGCGAATTAAAAGACAGCGGCTACGCTGGCTAGGTCATGTTGTCCGGATGGACTAAAACACTCCAGCTGTGAAAGTATTCGACGCAGTACCCGCCGGGGGAAGCAGAGGAAGAGCAAGACCTCCACTCCGTTATAAGGACCAAGTGGAGAAGGACCTGTCTTCACTTGGAATATCTAATTGGCGCCATGTAGGGAAAAGAAGAAACGACTGGCGCGCGGGTGTTAACTCGGCTATAATCGCGTAAGCGGTGACTACGCCAATCAAGAAGAAGAAGAAGAATAAATCAGTCGATAATGATTTTGATTATAAACCGAAACTATGCTCTCCATTTAAACTTTTAAAAAGCTGAACATAAAAATTGGTGTAGTCTCACCAAAAAAATATTCTAGATTTATCATTTTGACCCATGCTATTTCTGGTTTTGAAAAAAATTAGGATGGCGAACCGATTTCAATTCCGAGTAAATGTCTGTCTGTGCAATATATAACATAACTGAGTAAAAAATAAAAAAATAGATATCGTAAAGAAAATTGGTATAGGGGTTCCCTGGCGGAAAAGAGAGAACGCGGTCGTAGATGGGCGTAATCGGATCACTGTCATTCCCATAAAACGCCACTAAATGAAAACCTATGAAGTGTCATAAATATACACTAATTTAAGATATAGAACTACACTTTGGCACCGGGGATCGCATTAGTAAGGCCCACCTGTGGACTAAAAAGTTTGAAAAAATGGTCGTTGCCTCGCCATTTAAAAGGTTTAATGTACGAGATATGTACCGATAAAACCGTTAAAGCTAAAACAAACAAATTCGTTCAGAATAAATTCCTTGAAAATGAATGAAATTGGATAATAACCACACCAACTCCCCATATAAGGATATTGTTAACTACTAAAAGTGCGATAAATCAATAAATAAATACGCCAGAGGCAGTTTTACCCCCGAGATGGTATGAGAGGTCTTTACAGGAGCCGAGATGACAATTGGTCAATGGGCGTCCACTTTTAGACAAAATCACATATCTCGGTACCTGTTCAATCGATTTCAACCAAATATGGTATATGACATTCAACTGATATTCTTATCTTACAGTACGAAAACGAACTACAACCATGCCTATTTCTCATATAACACAATATAAAATTCCAATGTGATTATTTCACTTCTCAGTATAATTGATTTGTTATAAATATGACGACTTTGTCTTTGCACGAATATAAAGGGTGATCCAATTTGATGTCCCCTACATTTATCTCTCTCAAATGTTGGCCACGGCTACGATCTGATGGTCCATTCGTTGAGTCCAATTTTCCATTATTCGTTATAATATTTCACTGGTAACTATTTTGTTCTAAAGCCTGAATCGAAGCACATAGACTTCGTGATATTACACGATCTTGGTGGCCAATCTACCAGCGCAAAATTATTTGATCGCCGAAGTGTTCTCTTAATAAATCCAATGATTCATGCGATATGTGTGAAGTGGCGCCGTTTTGTTTAATCCAAATGTCGCCGATATCACGAACTTCAATTTCAGTCAATTCGAATAGTCGGTTATAATGGCGCGATAATGGTCTTCATCGACGGTTACGTTCTCTCCGATATCATTTTTGAAGAAATATGTATCGACGGATCAATCCACCGGCTCACAAATCACACCAAACCGTTGTTTTTTCTGGATGAAATGGTAGCTCATGACTCTCTTCAGGTTGCTGTTCATCTCAAATGCAGTAATTTTTCTTTTTTACGTACCCATTGAGTCAGAGATGGGCCTCATCACTGAACAAAATTTGGATTGAAAACTTCGAATCTTCTTGGAACTTTTCAAGAGCTAACAGAGCAAAGCGATGCCGCTTGGGAAGGTCGGGTGGCTTCAGTTCTTGCCCAATCCGTATTTTAAATTTAAGATCTTGAGTTAAAATGCGCCAAGTCGTTTCATAAGTCAGTAAATTGATATCAGCCGTAGATGCGTGCTGGATATGGTCTATTCGGTCGAATATTATCCAATAATAAATTCTGGATCTCAATATGGGTGATGGTGTTGCGAATAGTATACTCAGTAGGTCGATTATGTTGACCATAAGTCGCAAGTCTTTTCATGATGAAATACCCAAAAAATACTCAACAAAAATAACATGACAGCTTGACACGACTCACGCATGATCTGTCAAAAAGGGGCTACTTGGAGCACTCGTTTTACTATGTTTCTGAAAATCATAAATATCTCCAAAAATTAGTTATTAGTTCGAAGGAAACTTAAAAATTGCTGGACAACATCAAGACCCATTCGCCAAATTTATATTTAACAACTTTTCTTTTTTAATTTTGACGAAAAATGTATGGGATATATTTATTTTCAACGTAGATTTGGGAATTAAGGGTTACTTATGTATATGTATATATTATATGAATATTATTGCGAATGTGAACAATTATATACCTTTGCAAATACACCCCTGCATATAAAAAGTTAATTATTTACATTGAAATAAATAGGCTTTATGAACATGCTGAACATAATATTCGTAAGCCTACACCAACACATATTGTACATACATGCATATATGCATGTACATACATACATACATATGTATGTATATGCTCAACAGTTTGTTCTATGCAGTTTAGAGCTTTATAAAAGCTTTATTGTCGTGCAGTTTTTATGCGCAATCACTCTCAGAACAAATGTCTCTCTACCGTTTTCTCTCTTTACTCGATTGTAGTTATTTTTGGTCATTATATTTTTCATATTTGTTCTTTACTTATTTGTTTGCAATTTACTACCACTTTGGTCAAATAGAAATATACAAAAACTTATATTTTGCACTAACATACCTTGTACGAGTATAAATACATTTGATGCTCGACACTCCTTATTCGGCTCGAGTCGGGTGCAACGCGCATGGAGTTCTCGAGTTATCTCGACTGCGCAGCGCACTCAAAGTCAAAGGTTGTTGAACTGTGTCACAACATGGAGGCGAGTTTCAATGCCATGGCGGCTTTTAGCACACACATTTACAGATACTCGAGCGTATAAACGTGTGCATACGTGCACATGCATGCGAATGCACTAATAAACGCATGCAGCTTTGCAATTTTGTGCATAGAATTCGGTTTTGCCCGTCGCATAGACACTTTCCGAGTCCCTGGTGGTGGTGTATTGTTGTTGCTACTGCTGTGTGGATGCGGCGGTGCGCTGGATCGGAATGAAGTACTTGTGGCCTAGCACAAAAGCGCTAAAACCCATAACACATACGAGTGCATACATATGCATGTGTGTATGTGATGTGCTTGCATTCAATTTTTTTGTTTGTATATACAAGCTTTATATACTTACATATATGTGTACATAAGTGCATTGTTAAGTGGGCTTTGTAGTGCAGAGTGCGTATTTTTTTATTTATATGTACGCGTAAAATTGCATACAAACTTATTATGTCTTGCACTTTCCTCGAAGTCTCGTTTTGGGATCAAATTGTGTTGATAAAATTATACATACATATGCGTTTAAGGGTTGGTACTAATGCTCAAAAAATAAAAAATAAGGCATATTATGATTAGATTAATTGTGCTAATTAAAAATAGTTTTAACTCAAATAAAGTTTTTTTTTTTATATATTTAATCGTCATTGAATTGCAAAGTATTTTTATGCGAACAGGGCAGGTTGATATATTAAGGGAATTTATGAATGATTTTTCTGCAAGTATTTTAACTTAATTCTGGGTCCGTTTTTTCTAAAATTCAGCTGTTCGTTTTGTACTTCTCTAGGTAGTCGATATAGACCGCACCTTGGTAATACCAGACTGATAGGAAAGCCTTCTCCTTTGGAGTGGATCCGCCAAATGAAGGGTACTGTTTCGACTGTTGCTTGGAGTATTCGTCTGCACCAGTGGATCCATGTTTGGTTGATGCCCAGGAAGCGGCACACAAATACGGATTTAATAGCATTAAATACTGTTTTAAAATGACTACATTCATTGAGCGAGATGAGAGGAGTGAGCAAACTGGACGCCGCACCTCAGCTTTCTCAGTATTACGTATTAATAATATAATAACAAGTCCGTTCTTCTCGAATGTAACTTTATTAATAATTGCAATTTCCAATCCTTACAGCTAGGAAGTTAACATAATGTATGTTAGCTTAAAACTGCAAATGTTTATTGTTGTTGTTATTACTGTTTAAGGAAAGAGAGAATTTAGTTTAAGAAAGATCAATTAGCAAGTATGGAAATTATGAAATGAGAAAAAGAGATATGAGAGGATATGTAAGACAGGTAAAGAAAGAATGAAGAGAGAAGTGTATGTTGGAGTATTGGTATATGACTATATGATCCATGATTCTCAAGGAAATGTTTACTGTCTCAGCTATATAATTCACCTTCAATTAGGGGGTCTGCCTATTTTGAGAGGTCGAATTTTTTTTCCATATTCTGTGTGACAATATACTGCACAGATTACATGGCTCTTGATAGATTTGGTTGGTTTGTTTAACAATAGGTAACCCAAGGTAAGTCTTGTCATATCTAAAATTTACTGATCCAAACGAGGCTAGATATATATGTAGCTCGAGTTGCCGCTAAGATAGAGAGTGAGCCTTGCGCAGCTTCGTTCTGGATACTGTAGAAGGTTAAACTCCTGCTTATCCAGAACCGACACCAACATATCAAATATACATACAGATGTCCAGCATGCAATGAGTCCCTGGATGACTCTAACCACCTCTTTGCATGCTCAGCTAACTTTACACATCTGACACCCCACTCTCTACCGTTGGATGACCTCGATGACAACTTATCACCCTAACGGAAACTAGACAATCGTTAAAACATCAGTCTTGTTATATAGATTTATGCTCTTCGAATTTTCTGAAAGAACCTTTTATTGTCTACAAATATTTACGTTCCAGTGGTACGGATCCGAAACCACTTAATCAATAGTCACGGTTAGGACTAAAGCATAGAAAAGTCTTATCCTTTTAAAATCGTGCTGTTTTTGGGGTCCCGCTTATTATGAAACTTAGGCGTTTTGATATCAACCTCAATATTATGATGTTACTTTATTTAAAGAGCTTCAGGTTGTCATTACTCAAGAAGCAAGGAATGAAAGTACCTTTGGCCAGGTCCTTTATTTTAGGCCGTTTGTTTACTCTAAATTATGTCCCACGTCTGGGACCAACTATTCATATAAACAGGCAGAGTTGTAAGTGTAATCGAAATAGTACTTATGTAGGTATGCTTTGTTGTCTGCTACAGGCGAGTTCAAACCCATCTGCTGGTCATAATAATAGTAATGATAATAATTAAAACAATTTTATGTCACAGCGTGCATTGCCAACACCCAACAACAAAAATATTGCGAACTCTATTAAGTGCAATGAGAGAGGCCAGACTCAATGCTGCTCGGTGCTCTCTAGAATGCAATATAAACAACAACAACCACACTTGCATAAATACACGCACTAGCGTATACGTGTAAATCGCAAATTACTTAACGCTACATACATAAATAAATAAATAAGAACGAAGCGCTTTTATGCTTTTACATTCACTCTCTCCAGCGCGCTCGCATTGCCATTGACAACGGCAATGATAGGCGGCGAGTGTGAGGAACTTTAGTGAAGTTGCGTACTGCAGCACATGCACGAGAAGGTAGGTATAAGCGTACAGGAAACTTTTCGCGGGCAAGAACTTCCAAATCAACTTTGGAGTGCTGAGCCGCTTTCGCTTAATTATGTATACACCGTAAAAGTTTGGAGCGCAAGCATGCAGTCAAAGGACGACAAAGGGGAAGGATGTTCGGAAAAGCATTCAAAGTTTAATATGTACGCGTATATTTGTGCATATTATATACTAAATCCATATATGTACTTAATAAGTATATAATTGTGAGAGCGCCGTACTATGAAGCGTAGTAGGCGCAGTGGCGGTCGCGTTGTCTCGAGGATGTGCCAAGCAAGGCAAAAAGCATAGCAGCAAGTGCGGAAAAGCGCACTTGAAAGCGGCCAGTCGACACGCCAAGGGGTTGGTGCGGTGGTGCGGTGGTGCAGCGAACATTGCATGGGATTCTAATTTTAAAGCTGCAGCTAAAAAGCAGAAGAAATTACACAGCCAGTAAACAAAGAACTCCGGACATGATCGGTTGATCGCGGTGATGGCACAGACGTTTCGTTTTCGCAACCGTTGCACTCACTTACTGGCCATACACTTATTGTGGACTGAGAGTTAAGGTGTGTGTGTTGTTGTTGTTCGGTTGTAATTTTGTTTTAAGAAAAATTCAAAAATGAAAGAAACTGTGGTTAATTAGAGCGTGTTATTGAATAAGTAATACATAAGCGGAGTGTATATATAAATATCTGTATATAATGTATGTTTATATGCATGTAATTATGGAAACGGCTAGCGCGACAGCATTAAGACAAGCGCTGCAATTCTTCTAGTGCATTTTGGAAATTCGTATTTCGGCTAGTTCGACGTAAATTTTGGCAAGTCCATGGAACGCCACTCAGAAAATTGTTAGCGTAAAATATGTAAAGTGCGCTACAATAAAGCAAACAACGCGTATTTTAATCTTGTTACCTATTTTTACATATCTACATACATGTTTATGTACATTTGTATGTATGTGCATAGCTTGTAGTGGCAGCGTTTTGTGCGATTTCAGTAGTTTTAGCATTTAAACTTGACCTTAAACTTGTTCGGCGAGTTCTTGCACGCAGCCAATGCCAGTGCTAGAGCCTAGTGTTGGCGTTAGCGACCTGCCTCTGTACGCCTCTACAACTCCAAACCATCCTATTGTTGTAGCGCCTGCATATCCGACTCCACAGCCGGCAGCGCATTCAATAGATTGCGTGTATATTTATAGCTTGCCAAAAATAAAGTAAATTACAACAAAATCAAATACAAACAACTTTTCCTCAATAACGCCGCTGTATTTTGCAGTTCTTTTATGTTTTGCCTGTGGAAGTGCTTTTTTTCAGTTACTGGAAGTTTCTAGCCAAACCAGTGCCAAATGTATTAAGTTTCTATTGGTTTTGTAATGTATACCAAACTTAACGTGACTGTGTAATACATATTATATATACATGTTTATAAGTGTGTCGGTTTGTGCGCTCGGTTGGCATAAGCAGTGCATTGTATTTATAGGCGTATATGTGCTTGTTGTCCCGCAGAGCTTTAACTGCATACATGCACCGTTGCAGCAATTCGCCGGTGCTAACTTGTGCATGAGCAACTGAAATTCTATAAGTGCAAAGCTCAGTGGCTAAAGCTCGCTTCACATCAATGACACCGGTCAATGTATGCTCTGCATTCTCAAGCTTTTTATATTTATACAGTGCTGTGCAGTAAAATAGCAAAATGACTTGTGTTAATAGAGTTTGTGTGATGAACATTTTATAGAATATATAATGTGATGTTATTTAAATTATTAGCATGTTGAGCTAAGTCGATTTAGCCATGTTCGTCTCTATGTACGCGAACTAAACTCTCAGTTTTTGAGATATCGATCCGAAAATATTAAACACTTCCTTTTTTCCCAAAAAGACCTTTCATGATTTTAGAAACTTCGGTATAGGAGAACTATAACATATAGCTGTCATACAAATAGACCGTTCAAAATTAAGTTTTTGTACGGAAAACTTTTTGATTGAAAAGACATCTTCACGAAATTTGTCATTGAGACATCGCTACAGTCTTCAATATTTAGACCACTAAAGCTGCAGCTGAAGCCTGTATGTTCTTTTTTTTTTGAGAAGAGTACGCCAATTAAAATGAAGATTTAATGAGAAATAATACAAAGCCAAAGCATATCCAAACCAAATTGAAATTTATGTTGATAAATCGTCTTTTGAATGGTTTCGTATTTCTCACAGAGATAGCCAGCATCTACGTAGGCAGCGAAAGAGCAGTCAAGGCTGTAACCTCGTATCGTGTTGCCAGAAGCGAGCAATTTCACTTCTACTGGGCTCCAGGCTTCAAATATAATACATCGAATGTAATGAAAGAATGAACGAGTTTGCCAAGAATGGTGTACGGCTAACATCCGAAAACTTGATCAACATTAGGAAAGCCCATATATTTTCTATGCTACAGCTATGATCTGGAAAGAAGCATGGTAAAGAAAATCAATAGCCGATGGAACCAGCTACCTGATTGCAAAACTGTAAAAGTTCTGTGCAAAACGGTAGATCGGAAGTACACAAAATTTCCATTTGCTCTCGATGGAAAAGACTATACGAACTAACTGATCACTGTCTGGTGGCCACATGCGGCCGCAGGAGGGGGCTGACAGAACGAGAAGACTGTAGGAAATGCATAGAGCGGCGCACCAGGAAATAATAGAGCATCTCTTGTGCACTTGTCCCACATTGGCAAAACTACGCTGTAAGCATCTGGGGTCCCCACAGTATGGTACACTGGAGGAGCTCTGTTAAAATTCAAGTCAAGCCAGGCATCCTAGAGAATAACTACTCCCCTTGGACCTATTAACTCAACTCTAAAGACCAAAAGTGGTCTATGCGCGGCTTATATGCCTACCAGATTAACCTAACCTAACTTAACCAGCAACAATTTCTTGTATTCTTTATAAAGCTTAATAAGCATAGCGATATATTTGCTTTTCTATTTTTCATTTTTAAATTATTATTAATCGGGGTTCTGTTAAAGATTTTGGATTATTATAAATACTTTTTTATTTAGACTGTGGTTTTGTACCCTTTTCTATTATGAGGTAATTCCTTCTTTCTCAAATATTTTTGTTTTTTACAATTTGTTGTAGCGAATTTTAAGATATTATATTTCCGTTCCCACGACAGTCGGGAGTCTACGAAAACCGGAACGAACCCGGATTTTTATCCGGCCAAGGATTGTCAACTCGGCGGAATTCTGCCGTTACAACAACAACATATTATATTTTTGTTTTTTCATTAAATAGCTAACCGATTCATTAACATTTATTTTATATTATCCTTCAACTACAATTAAAAAGATTGATTGATATTTTATTTTTAATATTCAATATTTAAACAAAGAATACATAATTTATATCAACTTTAAATAAAATACGAAAAGCTTTGCAAAAGCTTACTTCTGTATAATTGCACATCACTATACACCACAACACTTACCACCAAACGCACACAACAAGTGCTTCATTAGGAGAGTTCTACTCTTTAGAACTTCACAATTTGAAGTTCTCATTTTTTATTTTGCACTTTTTTGCTCAACATAAACTTCACCAAACTTGTTTGCTTGCTATTGCAGCTGCCACATTGACAAGTCATCGTCGTCATCGGCGCCGTCGTTCGCAGCATAAACTTCAAGGTGAACGACAACAAAAACACCAAAAGCGCACTTGAAGAGCAGAGGCAAAGGACGAAGAACGTCAACGCACTCCGGCGCACCAAACAGTCGCTCCTTGATGGTGGTCTACGGCAGCATATGTTGCAGAAACGACAACAAAGCATAAACAGGCGAAGGCGAAGAAGAAGCTGGGGATTTGAATGAAAGAAAGAGTTGTGGCAATTGTATGCGAATCAAGGGTCGTGCAACAGCGAAACAAAAACAATATACCTATTTAAAGACTCAAATATACGATTGCATACGATTACATAAAGACTAACAACAATAACAAGAGCAATCAGCGCAGACGATGGCTAAGACACGAATAAAAACAACACCGACGCGCTTGCAGAAGGATGCGTTAATGGCATCAGCCGGCACCGTCACTGCCGCCGCAGCCATAACAAAGCCAGTGCTAACGACGTACCAGACTGCTGCACCGACAGATGATGTCAAGGTAATGCGTTGATGCGATGTTTGGGTGTGGGGGAGTATAACTTCATTTTCATTTCAATGCTTGGAAGAGTGTGTAGAGGATTCAATTGTTGTTGTGATTTTAATGAAATGGGGTGTGATTTGGTTGATAGATTCGATATAATTAGCATATTTTATTCATATTTGGGAAATATTTATATGGGACGACAGCGCAATACATATTTATATTACATATACATACATATTTTATAGGCGCCTATTGTATAGTGTGGTATAAAATGCCCGATGTTATACTGAAATTGTTAGGATTTTTTGTTATCTGATATGCGATGACTTGATACTGTGATATCATGCGATTATTGAAATTATTATGATGTGATTTTATATGATGCGAACACTAATGTTCTATAATAATGATAAAAGTTATGTTGCAAATATTTTGCTTTAGAAGATATAACGTGGTGTGATGTGAGTATATATGATTAATGATGTGATGTCACGATTTAAGTATACCTAAAATGTCTTTTTTCGTCAAACTGTATATAAAGGTACTAGTTTTTGAAATATCGATCCGAAGGTTTGTACTTTGGGACCACTATAGCATATGGTTGGCATACAAACTGAACGATTGAAATCAAGTGCTTCTATTGAAACATTTTTTATTTGTCGAGCTATATTCATTAAATTTGGCATGGATTATTGCCTAATGCAACGCCAATTGGAGATTCCAAGTGTAGCCAGGTCCTTCGGTGTTATGACTGTCAACAGCGACGTCGGGGCCAAGTCGCGATTGCGACGACTGTTTGTTTGATGACAGGAAATATTTCGTCTTGCGCTTGTTCTCTATCAGACCCATTTGCTTCGCATCTTTGTCCAACCTGGAGGAAGCAGAACTAATGGCCACGGTGATACTCCTGTAGAAGATTGTACTTTCTCTATTCAGATCTGCAACTCGGATTATTTTCTCCAGCAGTAGATTGTAGAAATCGCATGGTGGGAAATCGCCATGTCTGAGGCGGATGGAGCCATATGTAGCCATGTTCCCGCAAGTGAGGAAAGTTCTCTCAGCGCCATTCACTTGGGAGGGGCCAGAAACGATTCTTTTGCATATAGTTCAAGCTACTCGCGACTTCCGGTCTTAGGCCAAGTATCCTCTGTTTGAAGGCTAGCTAAAGAGGGAAGACGAATCATCCCTCCCCAGGGTTGTGCGCTGGGTTTGGGCTTCGACACGTTAAAAGCGCTCTCAATGAAAAAAAAAAAATCATTACTGATGGTCTTTTAAGACCGCGTCAAGTGAAAATGACCAAGCCCGGAGTTACTGTCAGGAAGATTTTACTAAGTGTTTGGTGAGAATGGTAGGAAATTCTCAAGCATGACCTATTCCTCTACGTCCAAACTCTTAATATGAATTTTTACTGTTAGCAATCGGATCCTCTGAAGAAAGCAAATGCCCAAAAGCGGTAAACTTTGGCAAATAAGTCAGGTTTCGTGTTCCATCAGGAAAACGCCATGCCATACATATCGATAGTGACTTGGTTGGGATGTGCGTAGTATACAAGGTAAATAGCTGTTTTCGATTCACCAAAATTTAAAGTGTGCCGAATCGAACACACAAATGAAGCTAAATCACTCTCTGCAACTATTTTAATTATAAAGAACCCCTTGTTTGGTTTGGATTTTGGGGCAACATTTTTTCGATAAAGTTATAATGGTTATCTGTCGGTTGAAAACAGGGTACAATTTTTTGACCAATCACATATAGCGTCTGGAGAGAAGCAGAAGTATTTTATGAAAAATGGTATGGATAAAATTGATAAGGTTTTTACTATATTTGATAATAATAGTTTTCATGTGTGAAGCTACAAGATTTTTACAAATTTTGTTTTAGAAAATCATACAAATCTTTTACATCTGTTTGGTCGAGATTCGAATGACTTTACAATTGCCTTACTTTAGTATTTTTGCTTAAAAATTTTACTTTAAATCTAATCGTATTGTATTTTTCATAGAAACGCCTACGTAACTCAGCGGTCCTGTCCAAGCCAATGCAAAGCGCTACCTCGACGATCATTGTTGCAGCACCGAAACGTACAAATTCCATTTCATCTATCGCCTCATCAATTTCGCAGATCAGCGATGCACACTCCGACACCGAATCACCTCCACCACCCTCCGTGGCATCCACCACAACAACAAAATCAACAAAGTCTCTACTCATTGCAAACACAACCTCACAAGCGCCGCGCACACTCAACAGTTTGCTGTGCAAACCCGCGCCCACACCCGCAGCGCCGCGCAATCGCAAAGTATTTATGATTACCGAAAAGTCCGATGAACCGCACGGTGGCGAAACGTCCAGTGCAGCGACGGCTGGAGTGACGCCCGGACAGAAACGGAAGATGTACTTGATTATGGAGGAGAACAGTTGCGCCGAGGCTGGCGAGGAGGATGAAGGTGACGATGCTTTAACAAAAGATGCACATAAGTATTTAAAACGAGAAAATGGTCTGATTATAGGTGCGGGCGGTTCGAAAAAGTTAACGCTCTTTGCGGACAAAGCGGACAGCGGTACGCTGACGGAGAAGTTCGAAAAGATACTGCCGGAAATACTGAATCGCATACAGGCCAAAGACACAGGTGGAGGCGGCGCCGGACCAGTATTGGCGGCACTTACGGCGACGTCAGCGCCGCCACCTACGGTGACCTCGAAACTGCTGAACGGCAGCACTAATCTGAATGTCATTAAGTCTGAGCCAATACCGCACCAACAACAGCAGCAGTCGCATTTTCAACTCAAACAAGAGCACAACAACAAAACGCCGACCGAAGCGAACAATGAAAGACTACCAATTACACTGCCACCAAAAAAGAATCGTACAAAAATCATTACAACTCACCTACAAAATTCAGCCTACAATGGCGCTCATTTCACTGACAACGCGAATAGCGTTTGGGGCAATTACAACAGCGGTAGCAGCGGCAGCAACAACAATAATAATAACAGCAATCACAAGATTGGCGCACAGTGTCATATTAAGCAGATCTCTGCCGCGACGCCGGTCATTGTGTCGGCAGTTACGATGAATGCACGCCACAACAACAGCAGCAACAATAACAGTCATGCTAATAACACGACAAGTGAGATCAAACGCTTTGCGCCCAAACAGAGCAACAACATTAGCACAACAAACAACACGAATATTAGATACGCGAGCAATTGTAACGGTCAAGCCGTCACATCTATGGCCCAAGTGGAATTGGTGCCGCAGAAGAACATTAACCTCTCCACCGATTTCCACTTCCTCATCAAAATGCTGCCGAAGCTGGAGAGCATACCCGAGCCACATAAGAACAATGTGAAGAATTGCATCGAGAAGATAATCACACAAAACGCGAACATATTTGCCAAACAGTAGCAGACGTACTATTGTATTACGAAAAATCGGATCGGAGTCGATTTCGATTCGAGTATTGCTGCATTTCATCAAGTGAACATTTTCATCTAGTTAGTCAATAGTATTTACTTATAAGCAAAGTAAAAGAATATTTTTTTCTTATTTTTGCTAAACCTTTGCAATTAATTTTATGTAAGCCAGCGCACTTTTCCAAAAGTCATCGCCTTTTTTACAAACGAATGTCGGGCATTCGCAAAAATTTCGTAGTTTTCGTAAAGCCATAGTTCGTAAGACTTTTGCATAAGTATTTGAAGTGTATTTTAATTAAGTTTTGCATATCAAATGCTGTTATACACACCTACATATTTTTAGACAAGTGCATTTTCATATACACTCATACAAACGCGTATGTGTGTGTTTTACGCTTTTTTCAAAGACATAGACTGACGGCGGTAAGGCTGCAAATTATATTTAGCTATATACTTCAAGTGAATTTAATACGAAAATAAAAAAAAACAATGTATTACATACATATATACATATTGTGAAATACATATAACTCGAAATTAAATTTCTCGAAAAACATACAAATATACATGTATGAGTATTTTAATAACTGTAAGTGAATGAATCATTCTATTTTCTTAATTGGTAACTTAAATACATACATACGAATAAATTACAGCAAAAATCTGACACATTGCGTATTATTTTGTGGTGCGAATGCATTCAATGTTAGTGTCTAACTCAAAGTTAGGGTATTGATGTACGGGTTGAGGTTGTAATATCCGCAAATCAAATTATAAACCTACAAATATATGTACATATATACCTATATTACATATATTTTATTAATGACTAGAAATAATATAATATGGTCCAAGTAGAGGTACTTTTTTTCGATAGCCTTTTTTCGACAGATCAAGCGTGAGCCATGTCAAGCGGTCATATTACTTCTGTTCTGTATTGTTTGGCATTTCATTTTAAAGAGACTTACGCCTGAAGAACGTTTACAAATCGTTCAACTTTATTACGAAAATTCACTTTCTGTAAAGACTGTATTTCGCGCTCTTCGCTCAACTTATGGTGAACTTAACACAGTACAACAGCTAATCTGGGGGTGAGAAATTCCAAGTCAGGGTGGTACTAGGTCAGTATAGTAAAACCCTCAAAGGGTTTGGCGTTCGTATGTGTCAGTTTTTTTTATGACCTTTTCAATATTTTCCTTATTTCCCATGGTTTTCCATCTTAACAAATTAATTTTTTCCAATCAGGCGTACTAAATGGTCCAGATATACGAAAGCTGATTAAAAGCGACGTATTCAACAATATTTTGATTGATGCTGAATTGAATGCATGGCAGGCAATCAAAGAAGTAATAAAAGGCTTGTTGGGAAAGCATCGTTCTAACAACTACGATGTTTCTGTCGCAAGGATGTTAAGAGCATGCTCGGAAATTGGGGTTTGTTTTTTTTTTTTTGCTTAAGCGAAAAAACATCAAGATATGGAAAAAATTTAAAAGTTCAAAAAAAAAAAAATGACACATACGAACGCCGAACCCTTTGAGGGTTTTACTATACTGACCTAGTACCATCACCCTGACTTGGAATTTCTCACCCCCCAGACAATAATCCCAAAAATGTTCCACAGTGTAATCAGCGTACTGAGCGTACTATTCACAACACTATTACCCATCTTGTGGACTAGCATTCATTATTGAATAATAATCATATTGGAAATATAGCAGCCGTAGCTGAGAGTGTACACGAAGACCGTAGAGAGTCGATTCGGCGCCGTTCGCAGAAACTCGGACTAACGTACGAAACGACTTGGAGCATTTTACGTCCAGATCTTAAATTGAAAGCGTACAAAACAAACAGCTTGTGGTGAATTTTTGCACGACGCTCGACCTTTCTATTCGCACTATGGGCTCTTGACAAGTACCAAGAAGATTCGACGTTGTGGAGCCAAAGCGATGAGGCCCCATTCTAGCTCAATGGGTACAACAAAATTGCCGCATTTGGGACGAAGAGCTGAAGAGATTCAAGTACAGTTATATCAACCACAAAGAACAACAGTTTGTTAGTTTTTGGGCCGATGGAATCATCGGTTCATATCATTCAACGACGGCTGTTCTCGCGCCATGATAACCGTTTATGCTTGAAATCTTGCTATCTCGGCTACGTTTCATTTCAACAAGGCGGCGCCACATCCCGTTTTTGCATCTATCAATGGATTTATTGAAAGAACACTTCGGTGGGAAGATAATTGCTCGTTTTGGGCCGGTTGAGACCGGACCAAGTTCATGTGATATCACATCGTTAGTCTATTTCTTGTAAGGATATAAGGTCTTAAGACTATTCCTGCTTCGATTCAGGCCTTGGACCCTGTCATTCGCCAGGTACCAGTCGAAATGCTCGAAGGAGTCATCGTAGCCGCAAAAAATAAACGCCAAATAATATTCTTTCGAATGATAATAAGCATTCCCCATTAAATTTGAAGTTTCTGTGTTTTTTCTTAAAAAAAAATAGTGAATCTCAAAATGTACGCCATATAATAATATTGACAAACTACTTGAGGGATTAGGCCAGTCTTTTCTTAAAAATGTTATTAAAGTGGTATACTAGTGCTCAATACGCTGTAGTCTCGAAGCGTTCAAGGCAGTGGACTTCAAGACTTCATGTCACAATTTAAAAAACTTAACCCTTTTATATATACTCGCGAAAAATATACGAAAACTTAAACACGTAGGAAGTCTTATGTAGATTAAGATATCGCATCTTTATTTGGTTTCAAATAGCATGAGTTCTTAGAATTATAATCGATTGGAGTTTCCCTCTTACAAAAGCAATTCAAAAATTAAGCCCTGTAGTCGCAATTTTGTACCAAAAAAAAAAAAAATAATAATAATAAAATAAAAATATTTCTTACTGAGATGACACTTGATTCCTTTTATCCCTTTTCATGTTCACACAGTATTTTACGATATTCCTATCTTTATCGTCTGATCGCATCGTACATTGGCATTCTTCTTTTGCGGTCCTTTGTACCACCTAACAAGTAAGGAAGGACTAAGTTCGGGTTTAATCGAACATTTTATACTCTTGCAACCTGCGAGGACCAAAAGAAGGGAAACTTCTTTTCGAGTTTCAATATAGATCGCAATAGGTTCCTGTGTTCACATACTTATTTGGTATCTGGGGGCTTGAATAATTTTGTTGCGGAGTGGATAATTTTGGGTTATAAGGTGACTCAACTCAATGGCACTATTTGTGCAAAGTTTTCTCCGCATGCGACATGGTTTAAACCGGCGCTCATCGTCCAAATTTGACAGTGGCACCAATAAAATTTTTTTGTATTATCTCGGCTGTAAAATTTTACTTCCCTGAGGAGTGGGCGTGGTTGTCTTTCGTGGATTCTTTCATACTGTCGCAAGGGGTGCTGAAATGATTCGTCCCTTGCAAATTTGAGCTAAAACAGTGCGATAAATCAGTAACCAATTTCTTATATTACCCCGATAAAAAAGTGATTTATCTGTTTTCCGAAGTTAGACACCAAAATCGATTTTTTTTGGTTTCGACTTTCAAAACTGAACTTATTGCAAACTTTAAAAAAAGAATAAGGAATAGATTTCGCGCCATTCGTGCCAAATAATCATTCGTGTTTAGTATACGATCGTCTTACTGAAGTACATAAAGTGCATTCGGCGATTTTTACGATGAGTGAAATTATTTTTCTGGTGCCGAAAGGGTTAGTATGTTGGAAAAGGCTTTCGGTGATAATTATTTGTCGAAAGTTCGCTGACGACGAACCATCCGTTATGGCCATCAAAAACAACTGATGAACAACACGTCTATAAAATCAAGGAATTGGTGCTTGAGAATTTACGATCGGCTGAATAACGTGGCAAAGGTGAGTCGAAGCCGAAGTAATCCAAGTCACAAATCTAGGTTATGTTGATGTTGATGTTTTCTTCGATTATGCACTCCGAATTCCTTTCGTCCGGCTCAACTATCAACAAAAAATACCATTTACGTGTTATGTCTCGTTTGAGCGAAGATATTCTTGGTTTTTGCACCGCGATAATACGCCGTCGCATACTGCATTGACTCGATTTGGTTCGCCATATTCGATTGATTTAGCTCCGTGCAACTTCTGGCAAACTCAAACAACCGTGGAAATCGGTAATTGACTTTAACAACTGTTTCAAAGATTGGAAAAAAACATTATCACAAGTGTATTGGCGCCAAGAGCGATTATTTTGAGAGGGACGGCATAGATTTTGAAAAATAAGATAAGAATTTTAAAATATGAACAAAGTCTTACTATTTGCTCATAGTAGTATGTGTACCGATCGATCAAGCGCATATGACTGATGCTATAAGGGATAATAGTTGGATCTTCAAAAAATAATAAAATTAACAAAATATATATATTTTTACTTTTTCTGGCTAAATCTCTAAGAACAATTGCATTACATTTACTGTGGAGTATTACTTAGATGAAATTGCGCTACTAAAACAACCGTTGTAACTGCTTCCGAAATTTCATATTGCTTAGTGTGATTCAATCAACATACCCTAAAACTGCCCCACCTGCTGTAGGCCCCATGTACCGCTTCACAAAAGTAAAAAACTCGCATTATGTTGCATAATAATTTCCAAAGAACTTTTATTCAGTTGAAAGCATTATTATTATTATTCTTTTCTGTATTTCTTTTATTAATTTTTGTTCTTCATTCTGTTTTTGTTTTTTTGTTTATATTTTATATTAATTTTTTCCATTAGTACGTCTAATTAATTATAATATTTAAGAGTAAATGTAAACAAAATATTATTTTAGTATATATATATWTACTATATATGTAAGTATGTACGTGTTGACTAGTAAATATGCCATATTTTTACATTTCTAAGAAGCAATTGAAATTTATGCACTTGAGTAGCATCAAAGGAAAAACAAAAACAATGCGCCTAATTTTTTCCACATTCAATTCTAAATGAAAAGTAGTTGAAATAAAATTTACAAGTAGAGTTTACTAGTAATTACGCACATCTACTACCGAAATAGTTGTAAATTTATGTAATTATTTTATGTTCTTGTTTTTGTTTTCGTATTTGCATTGATTAGTTCGAACTTGGAATTATACTTGTAAGATGTGTGTGTATGTAGTAAGTAGTTTAGTTAATTAGTAAATACATATAAATACAGAGACTCACATATTTGCTTTGCTGTTGTTGTTTTTTTTATTAAATTTTCAGCTTTTTCTATTTTACTTTTTACACTTGCATATATTTCATTTAAATATTTTATTTGCTTTGCAGCAAAAATTGCATTTTATTATTTTTAGTTAATTAATTACATTTTGTTTGTAATTCTAAGTACTTTTGAAATAATTTACAAATATTTACATTTTAATTAGCCGCACAATTAGTGTCGTCGATTGTTTGCCAAATTGCGGTTTCCAATTGGAAATGCGTTTCCTTTACTTGTCTGATTTTTTTATTTAATTAAATAAATTTGTTGTTGTATAATA